GAAACACAATAAGAACAATTGTAATGACAGTGGGAGTGCAAAATATAAGAGGGAGAGTAAGGCAAACATGGGAAAGGCAGCTGCTCCTCAGAATAGCATAAAGGGTACTCAGGAGGGTAAAGATACCCCAGCCACATCACCCAGAATTGACTTGTCACAGGAAAGAGTCCATGTCAGATCTTAAGACATAGGAACCTTCCAGACTTAACTATTGGCACTTTACAGAGTAGCTGGGCCTGGGATTAAACTTGTGCATGAGAGAAGAAAAAACTGAAGAGCAGGGGGAACTGAACCAGGTTTGTGACTAGCTTTGCTAGGGGGGTGTGGATCAGGGTGGCTAGTAAAAGGGCCAAGAGACATGACAGTTTTTAGCCAATCAGGATACCCAGCATTGAAGAATACAAGAAATCATGTGGTGGATAACATTTAGGAAGATCTTGAATAACAGGGCATAATCTACCAATAGCAAATAAGGCGCCCACTACCATCACTACTACTATTATTGTTGCTGATTAATAATAATTGAGTGCTTATCAAGGGCCAATAATGGTTATTTGGGTGAAGTAACTTGCCCATAGTGACTGAGGCATGAGTATGGATGAGAGTGTTCAGGTTCCTTCCAGGGTGGTTAGAAGCCAGGTGTCTTCTCAGCAAAGGCTAGCAAAAAAAGACACAGAAAGCAGCAAAGGAACTCAGTATCTAATTGAGTCCCTACATCACAGACCCAGAAGGGAGACAGAATTGAGTCCCACAGGATAGTACTAAGGGCTGAAGAAGAGGTGAGGGACTGCTGGGACTAAGGTTGTCCATAGCCCACCTTCCTCACATTCTGATGGCTCTGGGAACTATTGGGTTGGCCAAAAAGTGCATTTGGTTTTTTCCATAAAATATAAGACACATTTTTCATTTGCACCAATAACTTTATTGATTTGAGTATGTTGGTTATCTCCCACATGGTAGAATGCTGACTGTTCTCCACTAATGTCTCAATTTGATTGCTGTCAATTTCAACTGGCCTACCCAACCATGGAGCATTGTCCAGCAAGAAATCTCCAGCATGCAACTTTGCAAACCACTTTGGACATGCTTGATCAGTCAAAACACCTTCTCTATACACTGTACAAATCTTTTTTTGCATTTCAGTTTTTTACCTTTTTTTAAATAATAAAGCATAATACACTGAAAACGTAGCCTATTTTCTTCCATCTTGAAGGCTAAAATGGCTACACAAAAATTCACCAATTTTCAGTTTTTTTTTAATCAGAATTTAACTGCATGCTGATATGATAGCTACCACAACACAGTCTAACAAAATTGTTTCAAATGAAGTTAAAGACAACTAAGCACTACTAGAGCCATCTTAAGAGGAAAAAAATGTACTTTTTGACCAACCCAATATAATAGGATGGCATAGGCCAGCATCATGGGACCAAGATGGGAGTAGCTGAAGAAGCAGAAGCTAAAGGGATAAGACCAGGGCTGAAAATACTAGTGAAAAACTCAGTTCCCACAGGCCTGCCAAGGGGTGGTGAAGCGCAGGCATACAGAAACAACTGCCCATTTCTGTTCCCTCGGACCAGGAAAGCCCTCTTTTGCAGTCTTAATTTCAGGCACCATTTTAGGCATTCTGAGGGCCTGTATTTTCAGGAAATGGGCTTACAGAGGTTCAGAGGAAGTGATACAACTTGAATGCATACCAAAGTAGGGAGATCCCCTATCTCATGGGGAGGTTTCTGGGTAGAAACATTGCTCTGGAGAAGGCATTTCTGGGTTCTGATCCATCATAACCCAAGCCACCCAGACTGACAGTCTCCTTGTCTTTGAGCCTCTGAGAAAAGGTTGGGCACCTTTGCTTTGCACTCCATTGGCCCCATAAAACCCAGCAAGTCTCTAAATTTAACAGAGTTCAAACTTCACAAAACTCAGACAGGTTGACCTGGGTTACAAGAATACCAGGACCCTGTGGGAAAGCTTAGAGGATCAAAGGTACAAGGGACACAGAAATCCACTTGGCTTCAGTCTCTCCTCTAAGAAAATTTTCCCAGTCTGATGGAAACCATGGGGGATTAGTAAAGGAATGGTCTGGGTTTGTATACTGGATTCACCATTTCCTCGGCTGTGGGAACTTGAGCAAATTATGTTATTCTCTGCCTTAGTTTTCTCATTTGTAAAATGGGGTCAATACCAGTACTTACATCATAGGAATATTATCAGAACAAACCTGGTAAACCTATGCAAAGCACTTAAGAGACACATTTAGCATGCAGTAGTGTCAAGCATCAAATGATCATATAATGTGGGGAATACACATCTCATCTTGGGCCTTTGGGGAAACTGCTTCTGTGCACGGCCCCCTCACCCCCACCAATAGATAGAATGAGACTGGTTAAGGCATTGGTAACCAGCATCAAGGTGCCATCTAAGAATACATACATTCAGCTTCCAAAGAGCTCCTCACCTATTGTACTCCAATGATCAGTTTCTTTGGTGTGTTTGCCCAATTACATGCATAGTGTATTCAGATGGGAGAAGTTGGACAACACCAGGGTTTCTAACTGTCCACAGAGAGTCTTCCCCAGGATTAAGGTGTTGACAAGCATGTGTCTTATGCTGAGAGGCAGGGTTTCTGTAGGCAGCTGCTTCATGCCTGTTGTAAGCAGCATTATGGTTCCCAAAAAGATCCAATGTCTCATCTCCAGGACTGTGATTACATAGTAGAGATGTTGAAGATGTGATTTAAGTTATTGCTGACTTTAAAAATAGGAACATCATCCTGGATTATCTGTGTGAGCCTAGTAAAATCACCCCAATGAAAAGCCAGCCCTTATCAGCAGAGGCAGAAAAAGTCGAGGAAGAGGAAGCAAAAGGATTTGATGTGCCATTCATTGCTTCCTTGAAGATGGAGGGGGCCACATATCAAAACTGGAGACCTCAGTCCTACAACAACAAGGAAATGAATTCTGCTAACAACAGGTGAACTTGGAAAAGGATCCTGAGCCCCAGCTGACAACCACTTCCTGGCTGATACCTTGATTTTAGTTCAGTGAGACCCTAAGAAGAAGATCCAGCCACATTATGCAGAACTTCTGACCTATAAAAGCCCTGAGAAAATAAAGGGATGTTGTTTTAAGCTGCTAACTTTGTAGGCATTTGTTACAGCAGCAGTAGAAAACTAAAACAATGGTCGTGGGCCTTAATTTGTACATCTGTCAAATGGGGACAAACTCCCTGGTTTTAGCTACTTGATGGGACTGTTATGAGGACAAAATGATGGAGAAAACAGTGCTCTTCAGAGTTTCAAGTCATAAAACTATTGGGATATACTCCAACAGGGGGGGAAATCAATGTTGTTGATGCAATTGGGTTGAAGCAATTAAAAGCTTAGAGCTCCTGACATTTCCCAGAAGTGCTGAGATTGTTTGGGGGATGGGTTAGTATGTTTTATTGATTATGCTATTACAGTTGTCCCAATTTTTCCCCTTAGCTTCCTTCTGCCCAGTACCCTCCTTCTCTCCAGCAATCCCCCCTTAATTGCTGCCCATGGGTCGCGCATGTAAGTTCTTTAAGGGGATGTTAAGTGCTGAGGTTTTGGAGGGCTGCTCTCCCTCTCCCAGTGAAGCAGCACAGCACAGGTGAAAACAGAAAACCTAGGTCCCACTCTATTTTGTATCTGTGTGACCTTGGGCAAGTTGTCACCTCTCTGAGCTTCAGTGAAATGAGAGAAAACTCCTGCTCATTTGCCATCTGCCTCTCATCTCTCTAGGTGATTCTCCATTAGCTGAAGACAACTGGCAACAATCTAACCCTTTAAAATAGAGAAACACAGGGGAGGAGAAGGGATGCAGCTAAGGCCACACACTGGAGCTCTGCCTAGAGGATAGGGCTGTGTGAGGCCCACCTGAAGCAATGAATATACACATGTGATGGAAACAAAGCAGTACCCAGATGGAAGGCCGGCCTATTTGTCCTCCCCTACCCACGCCCCCCTCAAGTGTGTGTGCTGCTATGGGAAGCAGATATCCTGATTCTGGTAAACTGGTGACCAAAAGGAAGTAGAGTTCACAGACCCTTGGGTACTACTTTGAACACCTGTGTTGTGGCACTGGCAGCTGCATGGGAACACAAGCAATGACACTTGCTCTAACAGCTTCCCTTTAACAAACAGGACTCAGAAAGGTCTACTCAGTTTACTCGCTAATTAGCCCAACTGTGTTTTAGTTCCTTTCCATTGATTTAGATGGCAAATGAGGAAGACTAGGAGCTTTTGTCTGGGAGTATTTCATTTGGTGGAAAATATGTGGGAATCAAGAAAGAAGGTAAAAGCCAAATTCCCAAAATAATGACCATTAAAGCCACCCATCATAATACCCCTTGCTAAGTAAGCATGGTGTAACTGAAAGAACCCTGAGTAGGAGCCTAAGGATGTGGGATCTTCTTTAGACATGCCTCCTACCTTGTTCTGCCTGTTTCCCCAATGGTAGACTAGGCAGTTAGAGTACACACTTTTTGCAAGGTCCTTCCAATCAAATACTTTATGGGTAGTAAAAAAAAAAGTCTTTTATCTCAAGGCTGTAGTTCTTAACCTTTATTGGGTCACAGGCCCGTTTCAGTAGAATGTTATGGACATCTCTCCAGAACAGGCACGTTGGCCTGGAATTCTGCACGCCATTTCAGGGGCTCCATGACGTTCCTGCATCCATGGGCACTGGGTTAAAAACTGCTTCTTTCAGGAAATAAAAGAACTTAACTGCAGAAGGCAAACATGATGCAACATAACAGCTGCCCAGCCTCAATCCATCTTAACAATTTTTCCCAGCATTTGACCCCTAAATGGAACTACTGCAGGACAAACACAGTCTCCCTTTTCTAAAGAACTGTTTTTAGCTTTTCTTTCCTGATTTCTTGGAAAGCAAGCTGCTAGGAAAAAAACAGGCAGAAGAATAATTCAAAGAGACGGAGGCTTTGACATGCAAAACGTGCTTTGCAGATTTGTCCTAAGTGGTTGTATGCAAGAGCAGGAAGGCCACCTTCCTGAGTCCACATGGAAGGCTGGTGGGGGGCATCACCCAAACTGTCTAGCCCCACAGGAGCAGACAGGTTCTTGGCAATATATTTCAGTGCCAGAGCTCTAACCTGACACCAGGCTCCATATCATCAGTAAGAGACATATTAGGATTCTCCAATGTTTAGCAAACATTCCTACTTCCCTGATTTCAGGGTAAGCAATGGCCCCAACCCAAATAGCTTTTAGTTCAGAGACCTTTGAGATCAGTGGTTAGGCCCAAATCTTTGACTCCGAGGTCCTTTCGAGGAGGCAGGAAGTTCAAAGAAAGAGTTGAAAACTGAGATCCACTCTTCAACTCAGGTGGATGGATAGCTTGGTTTCTGCAGAGTCTGGTTTGAGGGAGGTCAGACATTCACAGTCTGCAGGAGCCCAAGGTAGACCTCAGGGGATAAAGACAGAATACAATGGATAAATAAGCCTGTTCTAGGATATGTACCCCCTATTTATAGCATCCCAGAGCCTGAAGGTGCAGGACCAGGAAGGAGCTGCTCTTCAGCACAAAATAACGCAGCACACAAGGGTTTGACGAAGACCCTTCTGGAACCCGGAAAGGGTCTTCTGAGGCCAAGGCTTTTACAACCTGAAAGGGAAAGAAGAGAGTAGAGAATTAGCTAGCATGGGTCAAGCACTTAACAGCCACCTAGCAGCAGGGCCTCTCTTAGTAGGTAGTTAACCATAAAATTGGTAGCTAATCTTCTGATTAACAGGGCTGGCTTGGAAAAGGCCCCTTTGATTCTGATCCCATGAAACAGGCCTAAGATGGTGCTATACTCAGGAATAGAAACTATGTGCCTTTGGTCTCACCTCTAATCACCAAAAAGTCTACAGAAATTAAGAAGCCTGATACCTCTGGGATTCCACCCCCCCCCAACCCACCCACCATAACACGGCTACTGCCTTTATAGCATTTATAGCACTACAATAATTCCAAACTTTCTTTTACTGGGATTTCACCTCCAAGAGGGTGGATAAGGAAAATGCTTATGTACCTCGGCACCTCTGAAGGTTGGCAGTGATAAGAAAGAAAAGGAAGCCTGGGGAGCATATGGAAAGCTCTGCTTCAGACACCAGGATCTCATTTATGTGTATACTGCTTCATGTTATGCCAACAATCTGATAGTCAAACAATGAGAACTCCTTGATAAAGAAATTTCCATCATCTCCATGGCTCCTGCTGATATTAGCAGTTACTTATCCTCACTGAACCTCAGCTCCTTCATTTGTTGAGTTAAAAATACACAGTATCCTCCCTATATCTGGCATTTGATATGGATCACGTGAGCTAATGAATGTGAAAGTGCTTTACATGAGACAAAGATAAAGAATTAAGAAAGCAGTTTTAGGGAGATAACACTGAAGTAGCGATTTACAAATACTAAGGTGTACTCTTGGTATCTGCTATAATACCAAAAGAGAGGTTACTGATCTTCTTATAGACCCAAAGATTGCCAGAGTTAGCAGGTTCCAGCCTTTTCATTTTATAGATTGGGAAATTGAGGCTCAGAGAAGGAAATGTACTTGCCTAAAATGTCACAGCCTAGGATCCCTAATGAACTTGATTCAAAAGCAACTTATAAAACTACACTGTAGTTTAGGGAGGGAGGGAGGGAGGGAGGGAGGAAGGAGAGGGTTAACTGAGAATCTCCGAACTGGAAGGCAGTGAGTTTAAGAGTCATATCATTATAGGGTAATGAACTGAGGCATGGAGATAAGTTTCCTCCCTCTGAACTGACACAGTATTCCAGTCTTCAAAAACTCTGATCCCATAGAGAAGGCTCACATGTAACAAGGTCCTGTAACCAGGGATGGGAGACTACATACCTGAGGCCTCAACTCTCATCTCCAGGAAGTCTGCCTTGAGAACTGTGGGTAAAATAGGAAATACGTTTCACTAAAACTCTAGAAATCAAAACTGGAAAGGCAAAGCAAGGGTAAGGGTGGTCCTTCCATGCCAGTGCCGACGTGGTCATTTTAAATAATGCCTAAGTGATTCCACCCAGATATTTCAAAGCATCTAGCTCCATGCTTATAGGTTGAGCTACCTCTCTGGCAGATTTAGAGAGTCCAGTTTCCCAGACACAAGGACATTTTCCACGTGCCAGACTTTGAGAACCAGACTATGGAAGCCTAGGGGAGCCCAGAGAAATTGACCCAAAATCAGATACTACAGTCTGTAATTATCTCTAAAAGGGAAAAGGGGCAAGGAGGGAGGGCAAATACCATGTGAATCATGAATCCTCCTTTGACTTGAATACCAAAGCAGCCTTGCCTTGCCATTTGTGCTTAGATCAACCCTAAATTATCCTCATCTAGAGACAGCTGGAGGGAAAAGACAATCCTGAAGAGTCAAACCCCATATAGTGTAGCCAGAATAGTCTAGACAACAGCTGGTCACAGGGTTATATGTTCACCCTTGTTTTTTTCTTCACTCTTAAGTCTATTTACACTCACTCCCTGAGTGATCATACCCCTATCCATGCTCTCAATCACCAGCAAATACGAGGACTCTCCTAAAAGAGCTTCTATTCACATTTTGGTATATGTGAAAGCCCCCATCTAAAAAGTTCTACCCCTGAATCTCTGTAGGCCCAGCCCCAACTATAGGCTGAGTTATAGTTACCTAATGGACATCTCTATCTGGATGTCCCACAGGATCTTCAAAAACACTGTGTCCAAAATTGAGCAGAGCAACTTTTCCACAAAAGCTGTTCCTCCATGATTCATTATTGTTACCATCTACTTAGTTACCCAAGTTAGAGTTTTCTATCTTAATCCTTCACCAATGTTCCATGTTTGAAAGCAAGGCATTATCGAATCTACCTCAAATCTCTCCTTCGTGGCTGGATGGCTCAGTTGGTTGGAGTGGCTCAAAAGGTTGCGGGTTTGATGGCAGATCAGGACATGTGCCAAGGCTGTTAGGTTGTGGGTTCTATCCCTGGTTGGTACACATATGAGGGGCAGGTGGTTGATGTTTCCCTCTCACACCAAAGTCTGTCTGTCTCTCTCTCTCCCCCCCCTACCTTCCTCTCTCTCTAGAATCAATAACCATATCATCAGGTGAGAACTTAAAAAAAATCTCTTCTTCAATTTCATGTCTACTGGCAATGCCACAGGTCAGGGCCTCATCAACTCTAGCCAGGATGATTAGCTTCCTAACTGGTCTTCCTGTCTCTATTCTTGACTTTCCCATTACTAACAGAATGATTATTTTTATAATTTAGTCAGCTCTGAATATGCATTGTCATGCTTAAAAGTCTTCCATAACTCTCAATGGACTACTGTATAAAGACCAAACTCTTTGGTATGTCACACAAGGCCTTTACAATCTGGCCCTGATCCATCTTCCTGGCCTCAACTTCAGTTAAGCTGCCCTCTTCTTACCCCCACATTCTAGCCAAAGTGAAAAGCTATTCACTTCCTTACCCTGTGTTGCATAAGCTGTTCTGCCTTACTGAGCTGTCTTCTCCTCCCTTCTCAAAGAACTACTTCTCATTTTCTTTTGAGGTGTTTTTTTTTTTTAATTGTCGTGGAAGGGGGATGAATGAGGGAGTAAGGTCATTCAAATGTCAGGTGTACAAATGGGAAGCAAAAAGGGGCGGAGCACAGGTTAAACAGATCATCATTTTCATCTCCACGGACTGGACTGACTGTGGCTAGTCTGAGAATCTTGGCCAATTGCCAGTATGTAGATTAACTGATACAAGTGATGGTTAAAATATGAATGGTTTCCCTATGTAAACACTGTGTAGGAGGAGCCTATGGGCACCTAGGATGTTGACTTCTGACATACTGAAGGATCAGAGTACCAACTTTGGTCTTATCCACATTCTCTCCAAGATGGAATCTGGGGATAAAGATTACACCTAGATTCCAGAGGCCTAGGCATAAGATACGTAGAGTGATGCTCAAGCCTAAAGTGCTCCCTTACGCTGTGGTTGGTCCAAGACTTTCAGAGCACTAGCTGATGAAGCTAGGCAGTAGTTACCAATCTTCCCATGCTCTCAATGCCTGTTTGGCTATAGTTTCCATATTGGAAGTCAGTCTTCCTCAAAGATTCTATTACACTCTGCTCATGCCTCTTACATACTTCTTCCCAATGCCTTGGTTCTCTTCCAAGGCTACAGATCAATCCCTCACATTTTTTGGTGTATTTCTATTTATCTTTTAAGCCCCAGATCAGAGACATCACCTCTTATAAAGCTTTCCTTCAGATGTGCCCAGTTCATTATGCTAATTCTAGTTTACTTCCTTTTATTTCCCTCATATTTATTTCTCATATGGCTTATTCTATGAGGGAAAAAAGACTACCAAGAAGTAGGAACTAGTCCTGCTCATAGGTGGGTACTTTATTAAGAGTCTCTCTCCCACTCTGACTGGTGTGGCTCAGTGGATTGAGTGCTGGCCTGTGAACCAAAGGGCTGCTGGTTTGATTCCCAGTCAGGGTATATGCCTAGGTTGTGGGCGCATGAGAGGCAAACATACATTGATATTTCTCTCCCTCTCTTTCTCCCTCTTCACCTCTCTCTAAAAATAAATATTTTAAAAAGTCTTTCTCCCCCTCTCTCTATTTGTTTTTTCTTTTCTTTCGTTTTTTTTTTAACAAGGTAGACATTTGATTAGGTCTGCTTCAAAAAATCCTAGGTAAAAATTTTATTTTCATTCTATCAGTAAGAAAAATCTGGGGTGCTGACCTCACTTTTATTCTTTATAATAGAATAAATGGTGAATTATTGTCCAAGGAGAATTTGGCCCAGCCTAGGGTTCCCTGTGACTTACTGCTAAGCAGAACTATGGTCACCTGCTGTGCACAATCAGGTCCTGGTGAGGCAGGTCCCACAGTTTTGACTAGATGGTGTCAAACCTACCTCAGTTCCCTGATGATAAAAGCACATTGTTCTGCTTTTAACTAACCACATAGAAGAGTTACACTCCTATCAGCCATCTGGAAGCACAATTTCAAACTTTCTGATTGTCATCAAGGGGCAAATTCACAAAAGGGTGCCTGAAGGCTAAGCAACCATTTGTCTAGGTGTTCCAGGCAAAATCGTCCCAAATGCCAGGCCCTGGACAGTCTGCATAAGCACTTGAAAAGAAGGAAGGAGGGAAAGAAGGGAGGGGGGAAGAGAGGGATGGAGGGAGGGGGAGAGAGAGAGAAAGGGATGGAAAAGAAATGAGGGAGGCAAACAGACAATATACAGAAACAGATAAAGAAAGAGAGACAGTAAAAAGGTGAAACAAACAGTGACAAAGACAGAAGCATAGATATAAGCAGAAAAACACAAAGAGAGACAGAAGAGGCAGAATGACAGACACAGAAAGAAACAGAGTGTAAGAGAGACAAATAGAGTGACAAAAGAGAGACAGACCAGCAGGTACAGAAAAAAAGTCAGAAACACAGGGTGAGAGACAGAGTTGTGAGAAAGAAATGGACAAAGACAGACAGGAACAGAGACAGAGATAGAGATACAGAGAAATAGAGACAGAGAATATAAAAGAGCAAATGGGATGCTCATGATGCGTTTTTTAAAAAGTGATATTGTTTCTCTTCTGTCGCCTCTTACCTTCCTGTTTTCCGGGAAGCTGTTTCAAAGAACCTGGTCCTGGAAGCCACCCTGTAAACAGAAGCCAACCAAGTCCCTTGAGTTTCACTGGAATAAGTCTGAGAACCAATGACCAAGGGAAGAACAAGAGAATATGGACGAGATGGGCCATCAATGCCAGGCCATGGCTTAGTTTGCAAAGAACCTGGGCCTGAGGAGAAACCTAAATATCAGAATGTGAAATTGCTTAGAGACCATAGGAACCCTCAAGGCTATGGTTGACACCTTGTGTTCTCCACTGGTTTGGAGTGGTCCAAATATGTTGTCCACTTAGGATATTCTTGGCAGAAAAAACTGAAAGAAGTCCTAGGCTTCAAAGTATAATTTTTGGCATTGTGTAAATATGAGTAGGGCCTCCAAAAAACCAGAATTATCTTCTGAGGGGCAGGCCCCCTGTAGTACAGGCTCCTCCTGATAGGTGAGTGTTCTAGGAACACATCTATATCAGTGTACTAGCTGGGGTTGTTGTGAGAGGCTGCATTCGGCTTCAGTGAATTTTTTTTGAATACCATTTTAATGCATTTGCCCATTTCATGATAGGTGATTTATAAGCACACCTGCCCACACTGCCCTGAGTATTCTGTAGTTTTTGACAAAAAACCAGCATGACTACCATGCCCCACCCTCCCCATTTACCCTATCTCTTCCTGAGTGACTTGTTTTTGTTTCCCTGGATAAAAAAAAAATTTCTCAAAGGGAAATGTTTTTCTGATGTGGTAGAGGTGAAACAGATATAGCCAGAAGCCCTACAAGGCATCAAAATCAATGAGTTCAAAAACTGTTTTTGAGCAGTGGAAAAAAATGTCTTGATAGCTGTATTGCATCAAATGGAGAGCACTTTGAAGGTGACTGGAGTTTAGACATGTAAAAATAAATACAAAATTTTTGTAAATAAATTCCAGGGGGTTTTCTGGGCCCCACCTTGTACATTTAGCATTATAATGAGTCAAAATGGTGAAAGCTTTCAAAAAATTTGCCCCACTTCACAATTATGAAAAACAAGAGATACAAGAAAAAGAAACACCAGGAGGAAGTATACTGAGAGGCATCCCAGGCACTGACTGAGGAGGGGCCAGCCAGGCTAGCTGTAGCCAAGCAAGGCAGGTCCCTGAGAACTGCTGCCACTGTAGCAGCTTTAGCTCTGGCTCTTTGGTTTGTAGTCCAGCTTCAGAAAGGCTCATACCCTGCAAGAGGCTCTCTGGAGGATATGAGTCAATTTGGAAGATTAAAAAAAAAAACTTCATTAGCACCAGCTGGTGTGGCTCAGTGGCTTGAGCGCGCCAGCCTGCAAACCAAAGGGTCACCGGTTTACTTCCCAGTCAGGGCACAGGCCTGGGTTGCTAGGCCAGGTCCCTGGTGGGGGGTGCATGAGACACAACCACATAGTGATGTTTCTCTCCTTCTCTTTCTCCCTCCCTTCCCCTCACTCTAAAAATAAATAAATAAAAATTTAAAAAATTCTTCATTAATTTACTTTTAAAAACCAGTAGCAGTAACGAGAAAAAAAGAAAATTTCCAGAGCCAAGGGAGCATGAAAACTGAAGGTAATCTTATCACCCATAAGAGTTCAGGACAGCTAGAAACATGGGTCTCCTATTAGGCACTAAGGTTCAAACTCTTCAGCTTTGGAGAAATCTCTCAGCCTTCAGTGTTGGGTGGAACACTTTTAAACAGGGCTGGTCTGCGCATTCCCCTAGACTCCCAGGGGTGTCCAACCTTTTGGCATCTCTGGGACACACTGGAAGCAGAAGAGTTGTTTTGGGCCACACATTAAATCCATTGCAACATGTAATCACACAAAAAAAAATCTCTTAAGGTTTTAAGTAAATATATGATTTTGTGTTGGGCTACATTGACAGCCATCCTGAGCCACATGTGGCTCAAGGGGAATGGGTTGGACGCCCCTGCGAGACTAGACTATGGACTGAATGATGCCCCAGGGTTGTGCACTCTATGCCTTTCATAACCACAGTGGTGATCCTAAGAGCACTCCTAGTGGCCTAAGATGGGCCTTAAATCAAGAATGAGGAATAACCCTACTTACACAGATGATGGGATTTCCCCTGCATTGCCAGCTACAATATCTGGTTTTGGTTCTGTTTTCTGGGGAGTAGCCGCCCTGCACAAAGGGTCTGGAGGCCTCACTGGGGGACGGATGACGGTTGGCTTTTCTCCTGGAGGCCGCACTTTGCTGAAACTGTCAGAGTCTCCTGGGAGAGAAAACAACAGCAAGGACTTGGATGGTTAGCCAATGGAAAACTATGAAATATCAGGGTTATCTAGGCCACCTCCTTTGGCACCCATGTCTTTTGGTCACTGACAGCTCTGGATTTTTTAAAAATAATTCTTCCAGCCGCCATCCCTTCAGAAAGTCTATGTCTGAACACCACCTCTGAAGTTCATGTTCATGTGACCTAAGGCATGTCACGTCAATATGCTGAGTTTCAGTTTTGTTATCCATATAATCAAGACCAATAACACATTATTTTACAAAGATATTGAGAATCTAATTAAGTGCTAATATGTTTCGTATAGTGCTTGGCACATACATAGTAGGTGCTTAGTCAATGTTGGATGATGAATCTGAATTTTTTAAATTTATCACCTCCACACTCCAGGCTTTTTCACTGAGACCTTAACTACTGTAGCAGTCTCCTAACTTGCCTTCCTGCCTCTGTGACTCCAGTTTCCAGGTCAGTTCATACAAAATGAATGTACATCATTTTTATAAGACATTTTTGGCAGCAGTATGGTGAAATGGGATGCACTCACACATTGCTGGTGACACTGTACACTGGGCTTATTCTATCTAGACAGCCATCAAGAATTCTGAAACAATGTGGATGAAATGCAAAATCATACATATGAGATAGTTCATATTTGTTGATCTAGTTGATCCGCTTTGAGGATTGGGTCCAAATGAATTTAACCCAAAAGAAAAGAAATTTTAAAAAAAGCAATTGGCACAAGAACATGCTTCTTAACAGCAAAAAGTCAGACCCAACCACAAAGGCTATGCAAATGAATCAATTCTTACAAGCACTTAACCAATATGTATTATGTATGAACTGACAAGGACTTGGGCCAGGTCAAAAAATATATGAATATAAAATAATGAAAGTGAAAAAAGTCTACATAAAGTGTTCATGGCCTGATGAACACCATATGCAAGTAGACAATGCATAACTATGCAAGTAGATCTTGATATTCATTCCACTTTTGTCAATAAATCTTGATATTCATTAAGCTTTCTTCTATAAAAAAATTAAGGTAAATGTAAAAAAATATTAACTTTAATCCATATAATGCTGTTGTCAGATTTACCCTAAGTATTTTTACATTGTTTTTTCCCTCTTTAAAAATCTCCCAGTGGCTATTAAATATGTACAGAATAAAGTTCAAACTCCTTAACATAAATTCAAGGCCCTCTATGAGCTTGTCCCAAATTATGATCCCAGGCACTAATTCTGGACCAGCTCCAGTCTAGTCAAATTGGTCTCCTCACTACCCTATCAAAGCAAGCTCTTGGTGGTTACTTCTGGGTGAGTCAATCTGGTATAGTGGAAAATACAGAGTCTGGAGTTGGGCAGACCTGGCACTGAGGCCATGTCCTGATACTTCCCAAGCTGTAGGACCCTGGGCAGTTATTTCATCTCTTTGACTACGAATTTCTTTATCTGGGAAATGGGTAATAACCCCTCCTAAATTAGATGGCCTATAAAGAGTGCCTCGCATACAGCAGGGGTAAATAAGTGTTAGACTCTGTCCTACTTCTTCAACATAGGCGCCTTTTCTCATGTCTTAACTGCATTGTAACCATTCCTCAGCACTTAGCTCAAATCTTGCCTCTCTGAATGCTCCGGCTGGTACAGCTAACTCCCATCCATGTAAACACTCATGAAGTGCTTATACAGGGTCCAGCAGAAGTAATGCCTCCTCAAGTGTGTTGGTAGGGTAATAATATGGGTGTAAAAATTTATAGCTTTAATTTGAACATTTCACCTAAAATGTGATATGGTATGCTTGAGTGTGATACTGTCATGTTACAGAATTTCATGCTTATGATTTTGTAATAAAAAGGGGTGTTATTTGTGCTGGACCCTGTATATTGCCATGTGGGTTTTTAGTTTTTTCTAGCCATTCTAACGAGGGAGACAGATATGAAAAGAATTAATAATAACAATAATACCATATGTTTGGTGTTCTAATGGAGGAATGAAACAGGTACTATTCATGTACATAAATTCTGTCTCCCTATCTAGACTGTCTTACATTTCTGGCCATGCCAGTCCCCTTAGCACCAGGCAAGGTACACTGGAAAAAAATGACCCAAATTATAATAATCTGATTTTTCTAACATATCTTATACCAGATCAAAGTACTCTCCCAGTAAACTATTTGATGTTCACAATAAACTTGGGAGGACGAATCAGATGGATTTTACTTGTCATCTCCATTTTACAAAGAAGGAGACTGAGGTTCAGAAAGATGAATTGATTCACCTACTATCACACAGGTAAATGGTAGAGTGATGATTGCATCTCCTGTTCTTCCTAGTGTCTGCTGTTTTGTTAATATTAATAATTAAAAATTACAAATAATAATAGTGGTAGTCATAATAAAATAATTGGTAAAATTTTAGCTCCCTTTTTACTGAACACTTGCTCTCTTCCAGGTACTGTGATACTACACTCAGTAATTTATGCATAGACTCACATTTATCACTGGCTACAACCCTGTAAGGTAGAAAGTATTATCTCTGTTTTATAGCTGAGGAAACAGAGATGCAGAGATGAGAGGTAACCTCACAGTTAACTGGCAATAGATCCAGGTTTATCTAATTTCCGAAGCCCATATATTCCCAAGTACCGGTGATTTTCAACTGTGGATACACATTGGGAACATTAAAATTGTACATTACCCGGGCCCCATCCTCAGAGATCCTAGTTTAACCGACTGGGTTAGGACCTGGATATGGGTATTTTTAAGAGCTCCCCAGATGATACAATGTGTAGTCAGGATTGAGAACCACTAGACCATATGATGCAGCTTGCTCACTGCAGATCACAGGTTACCAGAGTTGACAATGCTCTTCTATTTCTACTGATTACTGGAGGGGATGTTGGACAGGAAGCACAGGCTGCAGTCAGAGCCAAAAAACATTTCTCCTGAAGCTGTGTTCATCCTGAGGCTATCACTTTCCTTGATGAGAGAACCAGATATCAATCCCCCCAAATATGAACCCCATTCCTTCCCAAGTTATAGCCATATCTAGATGGACATCAACCCAAGGCCTTGAAAAACAAATGTCATTAGCCTTGTATCCTCCTAGGTCCTTTACTGAGAGCTCCAACTTGATGATTAATTACAAGTCAAACTGATGTAGCAGCAAAGGGTTTTCTTGGTTGAAAGAGCCCAATGCCTTTCTCTCCTGACTCCAACTTGCCACAATAAAGCCACAATGTCAAACTGAGGAGGCAGGGTTAGAAGAGTAATAATATAACTGGGAGTCAGGAGACCTATATTCCAGTGTAAATACTAAAACTAACTTGCTGTGTGACCTTGAGGTGATCCCTTCCCTACTTGTACAATGTGGACTTGGATTGTGTCCCAAATCAATGCATCCAACATATGTCTGTAGACATATATTTCTCCCTGATGGCTTTATATGCTGCTTTTGAGTACTCTGGAACCAAGTTCTGATCATGTACTTAAACAGTTTGAAAAAAAAAAATCTCTAGATAGATAGAGAATTAGACTTAGACTTAGATTTGGTTTCATAGCTCCCTGTTGCCTGCAGAATAAACTCAAATATTTTGGACTTGGAATTCACTACCCTCTTCCATTTGGTTTCAACTGATGTTTCCGGTCCATGTTTCCATCACAGTTCTTCACATATCCTACCGTCCACACAAATAGTATTATTAGATGTTCCACGTACATGTCTTACAATGAATCATCTCTCTCCCAGCTGCCCTTTATCTTATTCCCACATGCCAAAATTTGCATTATCCATCAATGTTCAGCTTAAGAAATGTATCTTTTTGGAAGCCTAAGGTGTTCTGAGTTCCTTTGTCTGATTCTTAAGACACTAATTATCTTGTACTCTGAATCAAACCTCTTTGTTTTAGTGTCTCTATCTCACCTATTAGGATGGGAATAACTTGAGAGCAAGATCCAGGTAGAATTCACCTCTGAATTCACCAGAGGCCCAAGAAAACTGCTTTCCATGTAACTGGTACTTAAGAAATATTTATTGAGTCAAGAAAAATGTACTTCTGTGCATTAAAAGGACAATAAAAAAAGCTTTCCCTTTTTAAGTCCCCACTTGTGCCATCTGTGATACAGACAGACATGATATATCCAAATTTCAGGGCTACTCTGAAACCTAAATGGAAAGGTGTTCAATATACAGCGTGTTTCTTGAGGGCTTTTGTGCCCAGCCTTATGTTCTCATAAGAAATGCACACAAATGATCTAACATAGACTTCACCCCCCAGAGGCTTAAAACTGAGTTGGAGAATGAAGTTACAGTTACAGGAAATGTGTGAATATTGTAACTCAGCATCCATATTAGAGCACTAAACTTGGGCGCAAAAAGAAGTAAGGGAAGGGAGGTTTCCTGTGGCAGCATTGTCTGAAAGCTTTGTGGAAGGAATACGACTTGAGCTGGACCTTGCGGGAGGGCTAAGACTCCTTCCTCGCCTCTTTCCCTCAACAATGGTCTTCCTCTTTCTGATTGTTTGTGGAATGGTCAGAGACAGGCTGAGGGGAGAAAGAGTAGCTCTGAGCTCTTTTATGGCATCCATATTTGAGGCCTGAGGCTTCTTTTCATAGGTTCCAGAATACAGAAAAGTATACCTCTATTGTCTTCCATGCCTGCCATTTCCTGGGAGGATGTTACCTACCCAGTAGCACTATCATTTTTTGAACTTATATTATATTACCAAATACTCTGTATACCTAATTTATAATTAAACTTTACAAAATCCCTGCCTGCAATGTAGGCATTGTCCCTGCTTACAGTTGAGGAAATTGGCTCAAAGAAGTGAAGTTTGCCTAACTAAGATCATGTAGTTAGTAATTAGACTCCTATAAAAGGGAAACAACTGCTGCCATTTCACTGAGTATACATTAGGGGCCAAGCACTTGCGTATTTCATTGTTACAGCAGCCCTATGAGCACAATTATTATCTTCATTTTATGAATGAGAAAACTAAGGCTCAAAGAGACTGTGGCCTGTCCAAGGTCCCACAGCAAGGAGGAGACAAGGACTCAAACTCAAATCTGGGAGACCCTAGAGCCCAAGTCACATCCAACACTCCACTAAGCCTTTGAGCCTATGGTCTTTCAACCAAACTGTACTTCCTCTTCATTTCTTTAACCTTGGTCCACTACCTGACTTTTACTACACATTTGACCTCCCTCTCCAGCCCAGCCTGTTCCATCTCTCCTCATTCTCTGTTAAAGGACTACAACCAAAGAATCTTAGCATTCATAGACCTGATGGCTGTCAGTCTTCAACCTTAGGCAACTGTCTTCCACCTTTCCTTATAGCCATCTACACCCAACCTGAGGGCACAGAGTAAGGTGAGATTGTTTCCTCGTGTAGATTCCCCCAGTGTTCTAGAATTACGTATTTCTTTCTATGATACTTCCCCATACTCACCTAAAAGCCTCTTATCTCGTTTAGCCATTAATTGTGCTTTTGGATCAATCTGGAATTAGGCTCCAGGAAGGAGGCAGAGAATGAAAACCAAACACAGTCGATTTTTAAAGCATAATGAGTCCAAACAAGAAAATCTGGATAATGGCCAGCACAGCCCATCTCTGCAAGAGCGAGTCAGTTCCTAATACTTTTAGAACAGATGTAAATGCCACTCATAACATTGGCCTCCCCAGTGGAGAGAACCGATGGCCCTGGGGTGGGGCAATGCCTAACAAGCACTGTTTCTCCAAGCCCTAGAGCACATCATAAGAATTCAGTCATTTCTCTCTCATAGAAAGAGGAAAAGAGCTAAGAAGGAACCCCCTGCAAACCCATATGGCATAGGGTCCCAGTGTGGACATACTACCCACATTCATCTCAGAAGCTCAGACAGAGTGAAGGGTTCCTTGACCCCTCCTCCTACTAGGATTTGTTTTCATCCCCCACTAGGACACAGATCATACTGGACTGGGATGGAGTGCTTACATGCCAGCCTTACCAGGAACCTCTGGAAAGCAGGAACCATGGACTTCCAGCTCTATCTTGCCCATCGCATAGCACTATGTCTGAATAAATCATCAAACACATGCAAGCATATGTCTTCCCCTTCCATTCCCCAAAGGAAAGCCTGAAATCCCTCGTAGAAGCAACACAAATGCCCTTTCCAAAGCCAGATCTGGCAACAGGCAGTATCCTCAAAGGGAGGGAGGAAATTGGGTTGGCATAATTTTGCTTCCCCCAAATAAAAGGTCCTTTTTTTATTTATTATTATATTTTATTTTTTATTTTTTTGTTATTCTATTACAGTTGTCCCAATTTTCCCCGGCTTCCACAGTCAATCCCCACACCATTGGCCATGTCCATGGGTCACTCATACGTGTTCTTTGACTAGTCCCTTCTTACAAAACAGGAAGGGAAAGGCAGCTAAAACCACTTAAGAATGTGGTACCTAAGAAGTCTAGGTTCAAGTCCCATGTGTATATCTTACAATCTGGGTGGCGAGGCAATTTATTTTACTTCGCCAAGCCTCAGTTTCTCCACCTATGAAATGGGGAAATTAAAACCTATCTCATAGGCCCATCATGATGATTAGATACAACAGGAGAGAAAGTATCCAGTTCCATTCCTGGAAGAGAAAAGGGCCCTTGACAAAGTTACAGCAGCAAACAATATTGATCTTATTGTAAAGTTGACTTCCATGGAACAAAGCAATTTAACGTGCACCTTGTTGTTGCTATTTTTAATTGCTATGAACAAATCTGGAGACTATCAAGTCCACTCAAATGTTGGATCAATGCAAGGGGTGAAGGTGGAAGACAGGGCAGTGGCATAGCTGGACCACTAAAGCCATGGGGTCTGTGCACTGGCCCTCAGGATGACAGGCAAAGCGCTTAACAACACAGGTGAAAGAGAGTGACAACTGCAAGGTGTAGAGTGGGCCTACCGGGATGACAGCTCCCTCCCTGACATTGCCATTCTAGCTGCTGGCCAGCACCTGGGACCAACAACTATCAGTTATAGCTTAGAGTCAGAGCTTTTTACAGCTTTGGCTTGATTGATATCTGTTCTCATGCCTGGAATCTATCACTGGAGGGACAGCCAAAATGGGAGGAAGGGGAGGAGTAGGAGGTAGGAGCGGGCAAGGTTCAAAGAGGCAACAGCAGGGGTTTGATTCATTTCCCATCAAGTCCAGAACTACTACCTCAGTCATGCTTTCTGTGGCCAAGGCTGGAGGCATGGGGCTTTGAAAAAAACTGTGTTACACTAGCCTGCTGCTAACTAATTTGAGGCAGAAAGCAAAGCGAGGCAATGCTGTGGCAGAAATTTCTGTAGGCTGGCTGACACTGGACAATCACTGTAAGATCAGTACCTACAGTAACTGAAACCATTAAATCAGCAGCTACCAGCCATGTGGAGCAAGACTGTGGAGGAAGGGGAAGAAGGAAGTGCCGCTGGGATTTAGCTTTGCAGCAGAAGATGGTTTAGGCAGAACTAATAGGAAGGGCTGAGTTACTGTGTGTGCTGTGTTCATAGGATCTGGCTGACCTTGAGGCTTGGTGACAGGCAAGACAAACCTTACTGTGACGAACATAAGCTAAGTTACACAAACTACCAGATCGATGTGAAGGTCAATATACGACATAAATTGAAGCAGATGTCTACATAGAAGTCTGTCCTTACTTGGCTACTTCCCAGAAGACGCATATCTTACAGAGGGGAAGGGCAGGGGCAGGGAATTACTAGCATGTTCTGAATATTGATTTATGTCAAATATTTTTTTTTGTTATTCATTTTTAACCCTGGCAGTAATTCTGTGGAGTGAGCTGTTTCTCCCATTTATAGGCATGGAAACCAAGGTGCAAAGAGGTTAAATAGCTTAACTGTAATCATACAGATGCATCAGCAGATTGAGCCAGACAGTGAATTCAGAGTCAGTTAAACTTAGGGAAAATCTTAAGGGACCCCCGTTGAAGAGCCTTTGCTGAATTGGGCCCTGAGACCACATCATCCACTCATACTGAGGCTGTTATAACAACAGGCCATGGGAGAAAATGCTTCTCAGAAACATTATCTGCCCTCAAAAGCAGAAGAGTCATGCTTTCCTTGAACAACTGACTTGTTACCTTAAAAACTTGGAATTAGAGAACCATTGTGTTTTTCCCTCTCTTTGTGTTTTCTGTAGAAAGTTTGGAGCCAAATGTTCCAGCAAATGTGTAAGGCTTCACGGCAAGTATTTTGTGTACAAACTCCATTCCTTCTATCTTCCTTCTATTATACCATTTCCCCCTCCTGGCCTCAGCTTTGCTTACCTGTCCTCTAGAGTCTAAGGCTGAAGTCAGCAGACTTTTTCTGTCAAGTATTAGTTAATATTTTAGGCTTTGAAGGCTACCAAGTCTCTGTTGCCAGTACTTAATTCTGCTATTGTAGTGTGAAAGCGGCCCCAGGCAATATGTAAATGAAGGGGCCTGTGTCCTTGGACAGAGAAATTTGAATTTCACATAATTTTCATGTATTATGACATTATTTTTCTTTTGAGTTTTTTCAACCATTTAAAGCCATGGTTAGCGAAGCCCAGATAAACGCCTCAAGCACGGAGGGACCTTGTCTGTCTTACTCTGACATCCTCAACACAGAACAGGGCCATGCACATAGAAAGTACTCAATAAATATTTGTTTATTGAATAAACTATTCTTACTGTTTTAAGTTCTTATATTTTTCTGTATTATGAAAGGCCTTAAATCATTTTTGGAACCAGACAGGATATAAAACATAAGGCATATTTTAACAAGTTTATCTAGCTAGAAAGTAAAAGAATCAGGGTTTGGATCTAAGCCTATGTGATATCAAAACCCACATTTCTTTCCATTATACTATACTATCTTCATAGATGTATGCTCCCCCCAAATTCCCAATTTCCCTACGTGAGTCTCCGCATGTAGTAGCCGATTACATTTGCAGAAGCCAGCCACATCCTGAATTTGTAATTTAAAGAGCTGAGTTTTGCAGAAGTTGTGCCCATTTGTCCTGATTTCTAAAAACTGGAGAGTGAGTATAAGAACACAATAGTCCACAGATTTGAAGCTTCTTATAAAAAGGTAAAGTGGTAGTTGTATCTTATTGGAAAAAAAAAAACATAGGCTTTGGTGCCTACCAGGCTTGGTGAGATTTGGAACACAGCTCTGCCAGTTAGTAGCCTTTGGCAAGTCACTTACCGCTAGGAGCCTCAGATTTCTAGTAGGAAAAAGAAACAACAATAATACATTCTTCACAGTAAGGTTCTGAGGATCAAAAATAGCACATCAGTACCTAGTACAGTGCCAGGCACATGGAAGATATTTAATAAACAGCAAGAGTAGCAATATATTAATAACATTATTATTAATTTATTCCAAAAATAATGACCATCCACTATGTGACAGTTAGGCATTGTTCTAAGCACTTGGGATATAAAGTAAATAAAACAGGCTAAAAATCTCCGTCCTCCTGGAGCTTACATTCTGGTAATCATTGTGAATGGTTTTTATGTTCTTATCTACCATTGCAATATCAGTGGTTGTAAAAAGGAACAGATTTCTACTTAAATATCTCCCACTTCAGAAAGATCTTGAGGTGCAAAGTAGCTGGGTTCAGTTCTGGTTCCCATGGGATTCAGAAGCACTTACCCTCCTTGGGAGGAACCTGTGGCCGAGGAGCTGGTCTCTTTACATGGAAAGAGGGGGCTTTGGTGGGCCCAGAGCCTGGAACAGGTCCATTGGTGGCCTTCGACATGGCCTTGGTCCCTCCATCCTGCAGCCTAGACACCAACTTCCCGACGTCCACCTCGGGGCAGGAATCCAATTTGCCATCTGAAACAAGTCTGCTTGGCGACTTCCTCCCTGGATCAGCTTCCCCACTCTTCTGCATAGGCATGTTGGGATATTGTGGCAGTTTGGGGGGTTCTATACTGTTGGTGATAGTCCCATTGGGTGTTTGATGTTGGATTTCATCTAGCAAAAGTTGGTACGAAGAGGAAAGATTAATGATAACCATTATCACATTTTCACTTTATACATGCATACATGGTATTGAAAAATTGTACACATTTTCAAAGGAGGTATTGTGGATAAAATCAACAATACCCCACAAAATCAGTCTGTGCAAACCCCAATTCATATGGGGGAATCACAAATCACATTAGATAGGGAATTCAATTCAAGATCCAAGTATGATTTTCACCACAATACACCAAGATGCTTTATTAAAATTAATTCAAGAGGAAGAGTCCCCAATGAATTGTATATTCTATTAATTTTTTAAAAACACATCAGGAGGAAAAGATGGAGGAGGAGTGAATAGGAGTCACGCTAACCTCCTCCTCCCAAGACCAAACTGGAATTGCGACTAAATAGTGGAATAATGACCTGGAAAACAATGGAACTATAGTGGGAGAGGAGCCTTGGAGCCGAGGACAGACAGTGGATTCAACTCTCACGCATCCCAACAGGTGAGAAGTGCGGTGGAGGCTCAAGAGGGTGGGCTGGGTGCCTACGGGCACTAGCACCAGAGGGACATTGAAATGGCCAGTTACCTCCCCCCAAGAAGAACGGGGTCTGAATCATAAACAGGGACCTCTAAACTACAGCAGCTAAAACCAGGAAAATACAGACAAAACGCAACCCCGAAAAGCTTAGGGGCGCTCTCTGCCAGAGACAGGTGGCTGGGGATGCAAAGAGACATTTAAAGGGCCAACGCAAAAATTGCAGTGGCAGCCACCCTCCTGGATCTCTGGGTAGAGACGGCAGCAGGGTGGGCTGGTGCCTGGGAAAAGACTGGTGAGGAAAACTTTGTGAAGAGAACTGACACGGCGGCCGGTGGAGCCCGGGTGATAACGCACTTCCCACTCTGCAGCTACTATCTCACTCAGGCATAAGGGAATCAATGAACCTGCCTTTTGTGCGCTCCGCACACAGCTTGTGCATGTGAGCTGGGGGGCTGAGTGCAGACTGGCTGGGAGAGCCTTGAGGAGAGACTGGAGACGGAGGCGTTGGGGAAAGAACGGGAGGAGGAACCGGGGAGTCCCAACTCCCTCCACGTTCTCTAGTCTCCATTCTGGGCAGGCAAGGTGCACCCCCAAAGAGGCAGAAGCGGGGCACGCATGAGCCAGACTGCCTGCGATTGAAACGCAGTCCGCACAGGGGTTGGATCCTTGGCCGAAGGGGTCACAGAACTGCTCAGAGACCCCTGAGGAGAGACTGGAAACAGAGGCATTGGGGAAAGAACGGGAGGAAGAACCGGGGAGTCCCGACTCCTTCCCCTTTCCCTATTCTCCATTGTGTGGGAAAAGGACACACACCGAAAGAGCCAAAAGCCAAAAAGCACACAATAGAAAGTCCAAAACCACCCAGTGCAGGTGCGCACACTTCCGTCGAGTGGCCAGAGAGGGTTGGCGACTGTGTGTGTGGACCTGTGCGGGCTGGCGAGGGCTCGTGAGGGCTGGCAAGGCCTCCCACAGGTTGGCACCGATGGGACCTGCAAGGGAGTGTGCAGATCGGTGAGCACAGGTGTAAATCGACCCGCGTGAGCTGTGAGTGCAGAGCAGGCTGCAGAAATAGTGGATCCTGGGCCGAAGGGGTCACAGAGCTGCCCAGAGTCCCTGGACGAGACACTGGAGACAGGATTAACCGGAGGGTCCTGGAGCTGACTTCCTCCCATTTCCGTAGTCTCCATTTGGCGAGGGCAAGCAACGCATCCAAAGAGCCAAAAGCGGGGAAAGCACACAATAGAAGACCCTAAACAAACCAGTGCGGGGGTGCCCGCCGCCTTGGGGGCCAGACGAGTTCCCAAGGTCGCGAAGAAGCCCCCTGGGCTGGGGCAAGCAGTCACGAGCCCAGGCGGGTGGGGGATCCTGCCGGGCTGGGAACACGATCAAGGAGCAGGCAGGAGACTGCAGAGTGCTTCACAGAAATAGTGGATCCCTGGCCAAAGGGGTCACACAGCTGCCCAAAGCAGGAGTCAGACACAGACAGTAGACTCCTGGCAGGCTCAAACAAATGACCCAAGGTCATATAGGGTCAACAACTGACATCATCAGAGGCAGGCCCAGAAAGAAAAGTAAAGAGAAAAAATAAATAAATAAATAAATAAACCCTCCTACTACCATACAAGTTTAATCTACAAAGTCAGGAAATCTAGATGGCCCAATTAAAGCAAAAGGAAAAATTAATAAATAAATAAGTAAATCACTTAACAGGCTCTCACAAAAATGGGAAGAAAAAGAAGTTCCTCCCAAATGAGTGGAAAAGGGGGCTGCCCACAGAGAGAGCTAAATAAAACAGAGGCAAGGGAACTATCAGATATTGAATTCAAAACAATGGTTCTAAGGAAGCTCAATGAGTTCAGCCAGCTCAAAGAGAACTATGAGAAATGGCAGAGAAACTATCAGGATCTTACAACAAATATATCAACCTGGAAAAGGACATAGAAACTATCAAGAAGACACAAGAGGATATAAAGAATACCATTTCTGAATTGAAGAACACAGTAGAAGGAATCCAAAGCAGGCTGGATGAAGCCGAGGATCCAGTCAGTGAGATGGAGGATAAGGTAGAAAAAAGCTCCCAGAAAGAACAAGAAATGGAAAAAAGACTCAAAAGGAATGAAGAGGCATTTAGGGAAATGCAGGACAACCTGAAACGCAATAATATCCATATAATAGGGATACCAGAAGGAGAAGAAGAGAAGCAAGGGATAGAGAACATCCTCGAAAAAGTAATGATGGAAAATTTCCCTAATTTGAGGAGAGAAAGGGTCTCATGGATCCAGGGGGCACAGAGGACCCCACTCAAGAGGGACTCATGGAGGTCTACTCCAAGACACATCATCACTAAAATGGCAAATATCAAAGACAAAGAGAGAATCCTCAAGGCAGCAAGGGAGAAGGAGAAAGTAACATACAAGGAGGACCCGATACGCCTAGGAGCTGACTTCTCAACAGAAACACTACAAGCCAGAAGGGAATGGCAACAAATATTTCAAGCCATGAAAAGCAAGGGCCTACAGCCAAGGTTGCTCTACCCAGCTAGGCTCTCCATTAAAATACAAGGGGAAATACAGAGTTTCCCAGACAAGAGAAGGCTAAAAGAATACATCTCTACCAAACCAGCACTCCAAGATATGCTAAGGGGACTGGTTTAAGAAGATGAAGGAAAAGAGTGAGAAAGAAAAACACAGGTAGAAAGAGAAAAAATGAGTAAGTTTCTATCAGTAATATCTCTCAATGTAAATGGACTAAATGCCCCAATCAAAAGACACAGGGCAGCTAAATGGATAAGAAAACATGACCCATACATATGCTGCCTACCAGAGACCCACCTCAGAGCCAAAGACCTACACAGATTGAAAGTAAAGGGATGGAAAAAAAAATTCCAAGCAAATGGGCAAGAGAAAAAGGCTGGGGTTGCCATACTTGTATCAGACAAAGTAGATTTCAAAACAAAGGCCCTAAAAAGAGACCCAGAGGGGCACTTTATAATACTTAAAGAATCTGTCAAGAAGACATAAACATTGTAAACTTATGTGCTCCCAATATAGGAGCCCCCAAGTTTATAAGGAAATTGTTGGATGACTTCAAAAAAGATATAGACAGCCACACACTGATAGTAGGGGATTTCAACACCCCACTGTCAAAAATGGACAGATCTTCCAAACAAAACATTAATAAAGATATTGTGCAGCTGACTGACACACTGAATCAAAGAGACTTAACTGACATATATAGAACCTTACATCCCAAAGAAGAAAAATACACATTCTTTTCAAATGCTCATGGCAGTTTTTCAAAGATAGACCACATGATAGGACACAAAGCAAACCTCAGCAAATTCAGGAAAATTGAAATAATACCAAACTTTTTCTCGGACCACAAGGCCTTGAAACTGGAAATCAACCTCAAAGAGAAACTTCAAAAACTTGCAAACTCATGGAGACTGAACAGTAGACTATTAAACAATGAATGGGTCAATAATGAGGTAAGAGAAGAAATCAAAAATTTTATGGAAACAAATGAAAATGAACAGATTACAGTCCAAAACCTATGGGACACAGTAAAGGCAGTCCCGAGAGGGAAGTTCATAGCAATATAGGCTTACCTAGAAAAGATAGAAACATTTCAAATAAAAGACCTCACACTACAACTTCAAGAACTGGAGAAACAACAACAAATAAATCCCAGAGCAAGTAGAAGGAAGGAAATAGTCAAGATTAGAGCAGAACTGAATGACATAGAGACAAAAAGAACAATTCAAAGGATCAACCAATCCAGGAGCTGGTTCTTTGAAAGGATAAATAAAATCGAGAAGCCTTTAAGCAGACTCATCAAGAAAAAAAGAGAGAGGACCCAAATAAATGATATTGGAAATAAAAGAGGAGAAATAACAACTGATACCACAGAAATACAAAGGATTGTCAGAAACTACTATGAACAATTATATGCCAAGAAATTTGAAAACCTCAATGAAATGGACAAATTTCTAGAAAAGTATAATCTTCCAACACTGAAGGAGGAAGAAACAGAAAGCTTGAACAGACCGCTAACAGCTGGGGAAATTGAAGCAGTCATCAAGAAACTCCCGGGACACAAAAGCCCAGGGCCGGACAGTTTCAAAGGAGAATTTTACAAAACGTTTAAGGAAGAGCTAACCCCTGTCCTTCTCAGACTATTCCAAAAAATCCAAGAGGAGGGAAGACTCCCAGACTCTTTCAATGAGGCCAGCATCACCCTGATCCCAAAACCAGATAAAGACCCTACAAAGAAAGAAAACTACAGGCCAATTTCGCTCATGAACATAGATGCTAACATCTTTAACAAAATATTGGCAAACCGCATCCAGCAACACATTGAAAAGATTATCCACCATGATCAAGTGGGATTCATCCCAGGGATGCAGGGATGGTTCAATATACGCAAGTCAATAAACGTAATACATCACATAAATAAAAGGAAAGACAA